TCGACTTTTGCTGACCGCTCAAGCTTGGAATGTTTTTGATCACTGTTTTTCTACGGATTTTAAGGATTTGATAACAAATAAAGGAGTTTTAACTTGGAACTTTGACTAACGTTTTAAACAGCGGGCGCGTCAACATTATTCCCCTATTCAGCTGCTCGGCGACTCAAAGGCTTGAAAGTCGTCAACAACAATGTTGTTGTCTTTCTTATCCTCCCTAGCTGGTGTCTGATGTTCTTTTCTGTGCATCTTTGCTGACTTGATGAAAGCCCAATTTTGATAACCACATGTTTTAATCAGTAACCGCTGATTACTCAAAGTTTGTGTTCCAGATGGTGGTGGAAGTCAAAGAGGAGGTACTGGTCCATGCGTGTGGGCTTCCGGTAAACTTAAACGCTGAGGTTTCCATTCTCTTCAATGCGCACAGCGCAGTCCAGGAAAGGCAAACAGTTGTCCTTTGTGTCTTCCCTGGTGAACTTGATGTTTTTATCCACAGCTTTAATGTGAGCAGTGAAAGACTCCACTTCTTGTGTTTTGATTTTGACCCAGGTGTCATCTACATATCTGTACCAGTGGCTACGTACTCTCCCTGGTACAGATATGTAGACGACACCTGGGTACGTATATGAATAGGAAGTTAGTGTGGGAACACACTGCTTCCTATTTTGGTGTATTTGTAATGATTACAGTTGGTAACAAATGTGTGTGTGTGTATGTGTTTGTTTGTTTGTTTGGAGGGGGGGGTGTCAGTGTCTATCCAAACTTAAAAGTGTTTCCAATAAAGAATCTGGGGGAGAAGACAAACATATAGATCTGTATGCAAGAACTGAGTGACCTTCACTCTTCTAATGCAACTGTAAATTAACAATTTCTTAATGCTACACTTCATTACGCAAGGTGCTTTAATTCAGTAGTGATCTCTCATATTCACAAATCCTAAATTAGTGCAATGTCCCATAAATAATTGTAAAACCTATAAATAAATGTATGTAGCTTATTCTCATTGGTCTAACACTGTCATATGCGTCAAGAACCCACCCACCACTTTAATCACACTCTAGATCTTGTTTTAACATATGGCATAGAAACTGAACATTTAACAGTGTTTCCTGAAAACCCTCTCCTGTCTGATCATTTCCTGATAACATTTACATTTACAATAATTGATTACACAGCGGTGGAGAGTAGACTTTATCACAGTAGATGTCTTTCTGAAAGCGCTGTAAGTAAGTTTAAGAATATAATCCACCCACTGTTAGCTTTCTTCAATGCCCTGTACCAACATAGAGCAGAGCAGCTACCTGAACGCTACTCCAACAGAGGTCGATCATCTTGTTAATAATTTTACCTCCTCACTACGTACGACTCTGGATACTGTA